CTTCCCAATTTTGAACCATGCAGTGTTCCCTTGCTCTGTTCTGACGATGGCCTCCTGGTCCAAGTATAAGCAAGCACAAAGGTAGGTGGTTCAAATCCACCAGCTGGTCCTTTGGAGAAAGATGGGCAATCTCCTCTCGTGCAATTTAAATCCTCCGCAAACCTCACCAGAGGGTCAGCCATGAGTCAGTTCTGACTCAATGCCAGCTAACAACAATAACAAGAAATGAAAAAACCCCTTTATCCTTATGAAAATGTGCTGGTCGTACAGTTTAGTTTTCTCTGGGATGGGACCCCAGTAGGAATTCTTAATAATTTTTGTGCCACTGATTATTTTGGAAGTCATATGAACCTTATGGTTCTTATCTCAGAATTGCATTAATACATAAAATACAAGTAAAGAAAACACCAGTTATACTGAAATGCAGACACTTTGGGGACTGAGGGAGATTTGCGAAGATTACAGATATGTGCCACCAAAGAAGTGGAGGGAAGAGATTAGAAAGAACTCTGTGAAGAAAATGTTCCTCTCAACCACTGAACAAATTCAATGAAACAAGTTCAATTTGGTTTAAGAAGATATGTTCTGTTCTGTTTGGTTCCATAATTTCCTTAGTTGCAAGTCACAGAAAAGCATTTTTAACACAAAATATAAACATGCTATTACCTATCCCCTGCCACTGAGTCTATGCCAACTCATGGTAACTTTCCATCTATTTCCAAGGCTGTAAATCTTAATCAGAGGAGACTGCCCATCTTTCTCTAGCAGAGCAGCTGGTGGACTTGAACTGCCAATCTTTCTAATAAATACAAAACACACTGCACTATGGTATCCAAAAAGCAATTGTTTTTCAATTTAAGATTAGGAGGAAGCTGTTGCTGCTGCTGCTGTTGTTGTTGTTAGGTGCCTTGGAGTAAGACTTATAGCAGCTCTATGAACAGAAGATCTGAACCCTGTTCTATCCGCAACATCCTCACACTTCTGGACACACAAGAGCCCATTGCAGCAGTCACCACGTCAATCCACCTACTTGAGGGTCTTCTCCTTTGCCGACCCTCCACCTTTCTAAGCATCAAGTCCTTCTTCAAGGAATAGCACCTCCTAGTAACATGCCCAAAGTATGTGAGGTGAAGCCTCATAGAAATAGGATAAATAGAATAAATATACAAATAGGATAAATAGAATAAAAAGGGGAGAACTCACCTGCGTTTCTCAAGCTGAAAGAACTTAAAAAAAACAAATTTAAGCCATGCCATGTGTGTTTTTAAAAGAAGCCAACTATTAGCAATAAAATCGACCAACTACTCAAGGATGAACCATTGAAGAAAAAGAAACCCTCTCCCTAATCCTCTATTTCCTCATAACAGTAAACCCTGATGTTCTCATTAGCAGCTGTCTCTTCTTCGGGAACTGCAAAGAAGCCCCACCCCCACACCTGAGGGAAAAGGCCATTCAGATAACAGAGAGAAGAGTCTGAGGTCAAATTGAGTTTAAATAAATTTTAAGACTCCACCACTGTCATTGCTTTTAATTCTAACTCAGAGAGATTGTCCTGGTTTCCAAGGCCAGATATCTTCATGGGAAGTGCCTATCTTTATACCTGGGAGTCACTATTAGATTTGAATAGCTCATCTTTTGGTTCACAGTGCAACATGTAACTATGTCACCAGATCTCATTTAAATGAAATTTAAGAGAAAAGGAAAACCTCTGTAAAGCTATGAAAAAGTCTAAAGAAGGGTCAGATAATAAAGGCTTGGATAAGAAATGAGAAATGAATTAAACATTTGATGTAATTTACATTGACATAACAAAAATGTCAGTTTGGGCGACAGCTAGTTACAATTAGTGATTTAAGAAAGAAATCTCACCCTTTTGAAACTTGGAAATCTGCTGTAATCCAGTTCTGATTCTAATATCTAAGTTCATGGTCAATGGCCCCAAGGCAATGTTCACATACTTCTTTTGAGAAGCAATAAAGTAGTCTATTCTTGAAATGCTGAGTCAGGAATGTTGTTCAGTTGCTTTTGATTTATAGTGACCCTGTGTACGCAAGTAACATAAAAATGTGAAAACCATGCCAAAAATAAAAATAAGTAAGTGCACCTACCCAAGGCTATTAAGATTTACCCTTGGGAGGGTGGAGAGACAGTGCAAGGAAGGAAGACCCTTGATGAGATGGATTGATTCAGTCACTGGGGTTATGGGGCTAAGTGTGTCAGAGACAATAAGGTTGGCACAGAATAGAGCAATGTTCAGGGATGTTATATATAGGGTTGCTATGAGTTGCAAGTCACTCAACAGAACATAACAACAAACAACAACATCAAGATCTACAGGCAAGGAGACATGATCACCAATGTTTGATGCAGTACTTTTTACACTAGCCAAAAGGCAGAAGCAACTAAAGAAGGGGTTCATCAATATATAAATGAATAAGCAAACATAGCATAGTCTCACAGCTAACTATTATGCAACTATAAAAAGAAATGAAGTTGGAAGGAGGGGAAGTCACTAGGATAATAGAGCTTGGTGGGCAGAGGTGGGTGGGTGAAGGAATTAGGAAGGATCCAATGGGGGCCTGAAAAGACAAGGTAATAGTACATGTAGATGAAAGATGATTAATTTTATAAAAATAAGCATCAGGATGGATGGCGAAGAGATTAAGATTGTTCATAGCTTCAGTTTGCTCGGTTCCACGGTCAACACTCTTGGCACCAGCAGCCAGGAAATAAAAAAACGTATTGCGATGGGAAAGTCTGCTGTTTGGGACCTCTCTAAAGTACTCAAGAGCAACGGTGTCTCTCTGGAGACTAAGGTGTGCCTGATACAGGCCATGGTTTTTGCAATCACTTGTTATGCATCAGAGATTTGGACAATGACTAGGGAGGATAGAAGGAGAATTGACGCCTTTGAGCTGTGGTGCTGGAGAAGAGTATTGAATGTACCATGGACTGCCAAGAAAACAGATTCATCCTGGAGAGGGTTAAACCAGGCTACTCCTTGGAAGCAAGGATTCTGGGGCTTCGTCTGACATACTTCGGACATGTTGTAAGGAGAGACAGGTCCTTGGAGAGGGACATCATGCTTGGTAGGGTGGAGGGACAGCGCAGGAGGGGAAGACCCTCTATGAGGTGGATTGATTCCGTGACTGGGGTAATCGGGATGGGTGTGTCAGAGGCAATGTGATTGGCACAGGATAGAGCAGGGTTTAGGGCTGTTGTACATAGGGTTGCTATGAGTCGCAAACGACTCGACGGCACATAACAACAACAACAACAACAACAACAACACCACAATGTATATTAGTGATCGTTCAAAACACAATGTGAATTAAGAAATGTGTGAGACACAATGTACATGAATGATACATAACGTATATAAATATTTGTATGTAAACTCGTATAAAAGAAATTATAAAAATATTTTTCTCCTATCCTACTATTGTAAAACAAGGGCAGTAGTATCAATATTGAGGTAATATACTTCAAACAAATACATAGGGGAAAAACTTAAAAACCTTGATCAATGAAACAGTCTTTATCCTAAATCCAAATAGCTAGAAACTTAAAATGATTTTTTTTTCAAAGTTGCAGCTACCATAACCTGAACGAATAGAAAGTTTTCCTTTTTATAAGTTCAGTGGTTTCAACGTTGCTGAGGAAATATAAAATAGTATGGGAAGAAAAAGGATGTGAAATTCTGTCACATGCTATGAAATGAAAATATTACAAAGAGTGAAAGGTGTAAAGAACAAATATTATTTTATCTCATTTATCTGAAATATTTAGAACAGTCAAATGCATATAAAATGCCTACCTGTGGCTACAGGACTAGAAATGAAAAGGAGGAAAGTGTGAGCTACTGCTTAAGTTTAGGACAGTGAGAGACTTTTAGAAATTGATAGTGGTGATGATTGTACAAGATGTATATAATTAATGTTACTGAGCTGTATGCTTCAAATGGTTAGAATGGCAAATGATTTGAT